GCAGCTGTGCGCTGGATCGGGCCCTCCCGTGTACCTGTGAGTTTGCTTCTGTGACGCCGTTGACGACGAGGACGGTGGGGAGGACGATGCACTGGGGGCGAATGGGGGCGGGACCAACTCCGCAGGGCCAGCTTCTCATCCCGAGCCGTTGTTTGACGGTCCCCGTGTCTGGGAGGGAAAGCCAGAGGAGGAGGAGGAGGCGGAGGAGGAGGAGGAGGAGGAGGGGGAGGAGGAGGAGGAGGAGGGGGGGAGGAGGAGGAGGAGGAGGAGGAGGGGGAGGAGGAGGAGGAGGAGGAGGAGGAGGAGGATCGCATGCCACTGAGGGAGAAAAAGAAAGAGAGAGAGAGAGAGAACCCCGAGGGTTCAGGCCAAAACACCAGGGGGGGGGGGCGTCCGAGAATGCCTTATTGTCATCTCGGCGCGGCTCGGCATAGGCAGCGCGCCGAGGGCCAGCGACAGGGCCACCTCCTAGGAAAAAAACACGCCGTCGTCCTCTTCGAGGGGCTCGCTCCTAACGTTGACATGCAGCTTGTCAGCGAGGCTATCCGCCTCCGTTTCAAACACCCCGAACGCCTGGAGACAGTCGGCTAGGCACAAGCGGCGCCCAACGTGCAAAGCAGGAACAGAAACATTCCCCGCGCCCCCTGGCTGGGCCTTTGGCTCGACACTGGGACCCCAAACAGCTGGCCCTAAGGCCTCGGGCCCCCGCAGAGACAGACGCGTATCCCCCTGCAAGAGGAATAGACCACCAACTGGGCTTGGCCTTCCAAGACCGAGGGGAACTCAAACAGAACAAGGCCCCCCTGCCTCCAGGGCCTCTGGCGGGAATCCTCCGCAAGCCTCGACAACTCGGGACCGAGGGCCTCGGAGAGCTCGGGAGGGGCTACGAGGGGGTCCTGATGGGAGGGCGTGGGAGGTGAGGCAGTAGCAGCAGCAGCAGCAGCAGCAGCAGCAGCAGCAACAGCAGCAGCAGCAGCAGCGGCAGCAGCAGCGGCAGCCTCTCCCCTCCGCAGAACCACCAAGTGCCCCTCAAAAACAATACCCCCTCGAGAGACACCAGAGTGAGCCCCTGGGCCCCAATGTTGTCAAAACGCCCCTCCTCCGAGTAGAAAACATCGGCCCGAACCAAACATGTGTCCAGTTGCCTACGCAGCACCAGCATGCCTTTGACCAGTCGAACTGTCTGACTATCCGCCAGCTCCTTCGAAGAAGCTAATGAAAAAAAGGCAACTTGCGCCCCGCCGATGGCATGCATCGAAACATCACCGATCTCACTCTTGACCCAAACAGTTGGGCTGAGCGTCGCCGCGCGGCGCCAGCTCGCAAAAAGGAAGAGCCGCGCCAGCGTGGTCGCTCCAGAACACCCTGCTACAACGGTCTCTTCGGAACGATGGTGCGACTGATCGCTCTTGGCCGCGTCGTTCTACGAGGCGCTCGATACAATGCATAGTACACACGCAGCGAAGACACGGGGAGACCAGCGTGCCGAGCCACATCGAACAACTCTCGATGGGAGATGCGCACATAGAACTCCCGGATGTCAAAAAAAAACGAAGGTTGCCGTTTCAAGTCCTGGGGTCACTCGAGCGAACGCTGCAAACGCGTTGTGGACGCGCTCTTGACACAGGCTGTGCTGGAACTCGTCGCCCAGAAAAACCGAGAGTCAACCGCCCGCTCCCATCGAGAGCACAGACTGTGACGGAGTCTGCTCCCAACTCGGGCAAACAGAGGGGGGCAGTCCTATGGGGCGAACGCCCCCTGATGGCTTCTCGAGAAAGACCGCCAACGCCAGCCGCATGGCTCCAGTGCTCTCGGACGTCTCTCTCACGCCGACAAGATCTCAGCGAACGCCTCGACCAGCGGCAGGGGCAGCTGGAGCAGCAAGCGCGGGCTGAATTCGCCCCAACCCAGGCTCGTTGAGGGGCTGTGCGTGGACGCTGCCCCTAGCACCACTTCAACTGACATCGCATCGAGAGAGCCATCGACAGCCCAGCTACACGGATGCAGCTCCTCCCCTTTCACAAACTGGATGGCTAGGCGGCGGGGCGAAAGCCAACTCTGAGTATATAAATTCGAACGCAGATGCAGTTCTTGGCCCCGGCAGCTTGGAGCGGTGATGAAGAAGGGGTCCCTGGCGACGCTGCCACCTCTCTGACATGGTCTAGGAAATCAATGTTTGCCCCATCCGAGACGAAATCGGGCGTCCATGCCCTGAGATGAGCAACATCTGATTGAGGACTGCAGCCCCAAACGACGAAGTGCAACCTGCCTTCGTAGGAAGAAGCCGGTGCACTTGAAACATATAACCCCGCCTTATACCGTGTCTTTCACCTCTTTGGCCTACTCAAAGAAGTGCAGGCCTGTTGCCCACGCGTAGGATTTATACGTCACGGGCGAAAAAACATCCGAACCAGCAGGCTCAGCAGGGGAGGTGCCGTTCTGGACTGGGGCATCGGCCACCCATTTTTGAGAGGCCCAGTCCAGAGGCTGGGCATGGGGGCGGGCATCGACCACCCGCGCGTCCGCGGCCGCCCACCCATGCCCGCTGCACTTTCCCTTCGGGATCTGCCCTGGCACAAGGCTCGAGGGCCCCCCCCCAGGATGTCTGAGCGCCCTGACAACGGCGCCGTGTCACTGTCCAAAAGCAGTGCAGACTGTGAGCTGGCCGTCTCCGTAGGCCGAGCCTGGTGCCGCACCATGGGGCGGTCGCGTGGCTGCCCCCGGCTCGGGGGCGAAGCTGTGGGGTGCTCCCAGAGCTGCTCCCCGCCCCGCCCAGACCAACGCGCCGCCCCTCCTGTCAACTGCAGACCCGCCCACGCTGCCCCTCCAGCAGCGATGCGACCTCCCAACCTCGCGCCGACGGCGGCCCGAGGGCCCGTGGCGCTCGGAGGGCCCACGGGCACTGCAGAAGACAACTCCTCCAGCGCTCCAGCAACGGCAGTGCCAGCCTCAGCAGCCTCAGGCGACGCAGCCCTGCCCCTCTCGCTGTTTACCCCACGGGTGCACCTGGGGACAGGTCCCGGCAAAACAATAGGCGACTGAGCCCAGCCCCTCGCGTTGTTTACCCCTTGGGGGCACCTGGAGGCTGTGACTTGCGTTCTAAAACCTGCAACCCCCTGCTCCGTGACGGCATGGGGCTTTGGCGAGAGCCGCTTTGGGATCAGCGGTTCGCACGAGGTTCGGCCGATCTCCCGCGCGGATCGCCCCGCGGCACCCACGCTTCCACGTATCCCAGCAAGCAGCGTCCAACAAAAAGAAACCCGGCGACGTAGCGCAGTCTCAGCAGGGGAGATGCCGCTCTGAACTGGGGCATCGGTCGCCCTCTCGTGAGAGGCCCAGAACAGAAGCTGGGCAAAGGGACGGGCATTGACCACCCGCGCGTTTGCGGCCGTCCGCGCAAGCCCGCTGCACTCTCCCTTCGGGGTCTGCCCTGGCTCTCGGCTCGAGGGCCCCCCCAGGATGTCTGGGCACCCCGAAGCCAGCGCCGTGCCTCGGCTCACCTGCAGCCTCTCGCCGCACCGCCATGACCAGCTCCAGCCAGCCTCAGCAGGGGAGGTGCCGCTCTGAACTGGGGCATCGGTCACCCCCTCGTGAGAGGCCCAGAACAGAAGCTGGGCAAAGGAACGGGCGTCGACCACCCGGTCGTCTGCGGCCGTCCACGCAAGACGCTGCACTCCCCCTTCGGGATCTGCCATGGCCCCAGGCTCACAGGCACCCCCAGGATGGCTGAACACCCCGAAAACGGCGCCATGCATCGGCGCACCTGCAGCTTCTCGCCAAAAACCAGAGATCCCCACGTGCGGCTCCGACCCAACAGAGCTCGAAACATGTCGATGGTCTGCTGCAGCTGTGACCAATGGTGTCGAGCGAACTGCTCCCACACATCGGAAAGAGAGGAGGCACGTACAGCAGGAAGGCGCGACGACGCCCACGGCCCCGCGCCCATGCTTCAGGGCAAGCCTCGCGCGCTGCCTCGCTCACAGATCCCCCAGAGCCGTCCCCGCACGAAGGGCTGTATCTCTGAACAAAGTTATCTCGAAGCCGAGCAATGCGAGGGCTGCTAAAAATCGCCGTCGACCAGGCCTCGCACCAGTCCATCCACGAAGGGAAGTCCACGTTCGTCTGGCCTCCTAGATTCCAGATGCACCGCGAACTCTGGCCTGCCATCATGGCCAACAAAGCCCTGCGCTCCCTGACAGGGTCGGGCGGCGGCGGCAGCACCTCGGGCGGCGGGAGCCCCATCAGCCCATCTCCATCAGGAGCTGGACTGCTTCGCCGCTGCACTTCCCCTGGCGATCTGGACCATCTCGTCGATGGCCTTCTGATCGCGCTGGACAGTGGGCGCTGCTGCGGCTGCTGCACCTGGGCCTCCACCTGCAGCGGCGCCATCAACAGCAGGACCAGCAGGAGGGGAAGCCGCACCAGCCGGAGGAGGATGAGGAGGATGAGGAGGAGGAGGAGGAGGAGGAGGAGGAGGGGGGGGAGGAGGAGGAGGAGGAGGAGGAGGAGGAGGAGGAGAAAAGAGGTG